ACTTGAGGATTGAGAAAGAGTAGGCGAGGCCGCTATGGGTAAGCGCTGGCTCACTCTCGTAATCTGTTGTTGCCTGTGGGCGCTCTCTGCCACCAACGGGCAACGAACGGTCAAACCCGCCGAAACCTGTCCACTGGAACTATCCGAAGGCTCACCAACCGTCTTTGATGGTCCACTCGATGGCTACAGGTACCCTCGTGAATCGATGCACACGTTGCTACTAAGTCTCGATATAAAACTCAATGTAAACCATAAAATCTAATACCCTCTCATTTCTTCTAGATTTTCAGACTTCAACCTGATCTCGTTCGGCAACTTCAAAGCGACAGGTGGTGGCTCCAGCATCAGAGGCCGTCTGTCAGTCCAACACAATGTGTCCATCTCCGGGACCTTCAGCATCGGCGGTGCGCGCAACGTGCGCCAGCAGCGCTACTCGGTGGTGATAGGCGGAGAGTCGGTGACGTGGCGCTCGGGCAGCGTGAGCGGCGGCGGCTTGCTGGTAACCTCTACCAACGAGGGAGCCATGCAGCTGGACTTGGGCAATTCCCTCCAACGACAGACCGTGGGCGGCTGCGACGTTGCCTCCAACTGCTTGATTTCGTTCTTCGATGATGCCTTCTCCTACTTTGATGGCTTCACCAGCGACATGGCCAGTGACGCCCAGGCCACCGGCGCCGGCTCAGTGACCCTGCTGCACGGCGGGCTCCACTTCACCGGTCCTCGCTGGGTGCAAGGCACCAGATGTCTGGTGTTCCGCGTGCCCTTGGAGCAGTGGAACTTGGTGCACTACTTCACCAAGGCCTATGTTGTGGAAGACCAGGAGTTGGTGGTGATTGACCAGGACGGTAGTGCTCGTTTTTATGGACAGCATTGTTCAAGTCATTGTGTTTGCGGAAGGTGTCGCACAACCTCCCCCGCTGAAGGAGCGCCTCTGGCCCAGTTGGCACTGGTTGTGATAACGGCACGTCGCGCTTCCCCAAAAGATGCTGGTGGTGTCTGCCCACCATTGGCCACCAAACCCAGGGGAGGCAGTTTTGGTCCAACTTCGTCCTTTGCGAATCTCCGTTCCAACCACACACACACGCCACGATTACTGAAAGTGAGGTGTGGAAGTTTACGGCCTTGGGTTCTTGTGTCCAGACGGACAAGGAAGCGGTCGCGAGGACCCTCCCCTCGTGGACCATCCACTCCAAGAAGGGCATGCTTTCGCAAGGTCGGCAGGGACGACGGGCTCGGCGTGGCCGCGTGGGCATGCAACGCCATCGCCAGCATGGCTTCGGTGGCTTCCCTCATAAGCGACATCAATTGCAAGCGCGACGAGTCCCTGCGCCACGCGGTCCCGCCTGATGGGCGCCACCAAAGCCAAGGCGAGCACCTTCCTGTCCGCCACGCGCAATCCGGAGGACCGACTGCCTTGACCAGGGAGGGACTCATGAGAGACGCTCAACTCTTGGCCGTCGCGACTCAGGACAGCCCAAGACAGGATGGGATGTCTGGCGCTGGCCTGCGGCGATGGCCAGCGGTCGCCCACCGTGCTGCCTGCGATTGCCTGTGCCCTTTGTCGCAACCACCGCTGGCACCGCCGAGGCCGCGGACAAACTGACCTTTGCGGAGATACAAAAAGACCTCCTTCACCAACAACCGGTCATCGGTAACTAACGCCGTGGACGGCACCTCGACTACCGTCAACGCCAGCACCACCACCTTCAACGAGGAACACCAGACCACCACGAGTCTCCCGCCTCCCCCCATGGAACTCGCTGCTTCTCTGCGAAACGACATCGCCGGCGACCTCGACCCAGAGGAGTACACCACCGTAATCGACGAGAACGAAGAAGACGATGGCGACGACAACAGTCCCGGGGATACTCCTGCTGATTTTTGTGTCCTTGGTGCTTGTCCATCCCTTCCTCTTTTCGTTCAGCATCCATAAAGTGTCCCTTGAGCGCCTCTCGTTGCAAGAGTCGCACCATCAGACCAGGTCAGATGGAAGGTTACTGAGAGCAGCTGATGGATGGCAGGTCCCTGCGGCTGCGCTACCTCCTCAGCGCCAGTGTTCCAGAGTGACAAGAACGGACGCGGCCAGGAAGACGTAGTAGGAGTAGGTACTGGTCATGGTGGCTGTCGTCATCGCTGGAGGAGGAAGAGGAGTCGGACGAGTCTCCGAGAAAGAGTTCCTCGAAGGAGCGGCCCGACGATAGAAAGATGGTCCATGCCTTCTTGTCCACGTTGCCAAACGCGGAGGGACCAAAAAGTGCGTGCGGCACTTGCCGCAACTCCCCCAACCACCCAAAAAAATTCGTGGGCTTGGGAAGCCGCCACGTCAGCACGTCCGGAAAGATCGACAAGAGTAAGTACTTTGCCTTAAGGCCGTGGTAGTTGGTGCTTCCATTCCTTGCACCGTTGGCCAGCACCAACGCCGACGTGGTGGAGCCTTTGAAACAGGGAGACTCAGTCTTACGAGGCTGAAGAGAAGGAAGGGGGGGAGTGGGTTATATAATTGGGTTCTGGTGCGGCTCCCTTAATCAGAAACCAGGCCAACACTGGTCAGCCGAGGGGACAGAGTGGCCTCCATTGCAGATCTCGCGAGCCAATTCGGCACAAATGGCCCGGCACTCGTGGTTGTTAGGGATGTTGGAGAGAGGGAAACCATCAATAAAGACCTTGCCGTTGGGGAGGACTTCGATCCCATAGCGGCCGGAGGTAGCAGTGCAGCCAGTGCAGCAGCAACCGTTTGGAGCATCGTTGTATGCCATGCTGGAAGAAACAAAGGGATTAGCGGCAAACAAAGCGCCAGGGAGTGAGAGTTGTTTGTACCAGAGAGTGACCGCAAGGTAGAGGAAAACTGCAGTGAGAACAGGAAGCCAGTTGTTCTTGCGCGGGAGAACCATCATGATAGACGTCTGTAGGAAGCTGTCTTGTTGTGTTCTTGTTGGGTTTGGAATGATCATCTGTCAAACAGTGAGTGTGCTTTTTCGTGCCGGCACAGCAAGACCAGTTTGCCAGATCACCAGCATGGCAAGGACATAACTCAGTCAACGCAGAGAGGCACATGTGCTACCATGTGGTACAAGCAACCAATGGCGTGCAGGTGTGGGGCAGCTTGCAACTTCCTCACTCCTCAAATTGTTTGTCTTGTCCGTCGGTTTCTCCTGGGTGCGAGCTGTGAGTCTGACTCTACCGAACAGAGACAAACCGTTTTGTTGTTGGCAGTAGGCTGGCAACGCACACCCGAAAACGCGGCTTCTGAGCGATGTGCCTGGCCGCCATTGGTGGTGAGTTCACACGCGCTTTCGAGACTGTCGCTGCCGATGAAGGTTCGGTCGCTTTGCTAATTTTGGCGGTTACTGTTATTGTCGCTTGATTGGGTGTGCGTTGTGTATTTGTCGTGATGGAGTATAAAAGGGAAGGACAGGAGTGGCATACACATAATTCGACATGTTCGGTCCAACAAGCGCGTTTCATTTTCGATGGCTCAACATCATGTACATCGTCTGTTGGCTGGTGATATCCTTCTGGCTGTTTCGGGGCGCCTACCACTACGACCGGTTCTACATGGACTCCCACCCTACAGACATCTTCTTCTCTGAGGATCCGCCGATCACTCACATCGCTGATCCCTCACCATCGGCTCCTCCACCTTCACCATCTCCCTCTCCCTCTTCATCTCCTTCACCAAGCCAGGCCCCAACTTTTCCTCCGGTGGCTGCGGAGATCTACGCCAACCACTTCAACGTCTATCCGCACAATGACCCCCTGTACCCTAACCGATCAGTCAGCAATCATCACCCTTACCTTCGTCACCTCCTCAACCATTGGATCCACTTCTCCGAAGTCCTCGGGTTTCGCTACGTCGCTATTGCCGGCACCCTCCTGGGCGCCATGCGCAACGGCCACATCATCCCGTGGGACTCGGACATGGACGTTGCAGTAGACCGCGAGACCGGCGAGAAGATCACGCTGCTGGCGGCCGGCCACCCCGAGTCTGGCATGTCAAGGTCTTCGTTCGACGGCCTCTCGATCGAGTTCAACAACGCGGTCATCGACCACCAGCCATGGACCGACGGCGAGGTCCGCTTGATCGTCAACCGATACTTGGCCCTGGACCTGCCCGGAGGCAACGGCCCGCACTTCAACCGTACCGGCCATTTGGTGCCCGACCAGGAGGACTCGGTCTCGTTCGCGGCCCTGTTTGCACGGCTGGTCAGCTACGTCGACAGGCGTTACGCGCACATAGACATCTTCTGCACGGAGGAGTTCGACGGCAAGTACGGCTGGCAGTCGGTCGAGGTAGGGCCGTCGAAGGCCACCTTTCCCAAACGAGTGGAGCCCTGCGCATTCGAGGGCAGGATGATATGGTGCCCGTCGAAGGAAGACTACGACCCGATAATGCAGAACAACTACGGAAACGACTACATGGTGCCGCACCCTCCATCGTGAGGCCTGGGCAGTGTTTTCTGCAATCACAATACACTGGGCGCGATCCTGTTTTTTGAAGATTGGTCGTTGTTTGAGGCTATGACACCCCTACAGATCGCCAACCATCGCTTCCTCAAGGCGCCATCCGAAACAGCTCCCAGTGGGAGCTCCGGCGAGACGTGCTGCCTCCGCGTTCGCTTTTCTTTTGCCGTTTCCGCCACTCGTTGAAGAGGGCCTCCCGGCAGAGGACTGTAAGTTTTTTTCGCCCTCCAACTTGTCCGCAACGATAAAGAGAGGTGCACGAGAAGGAGAGCAAAGGGGAGTGGAAGTTCATTGAAGTGGGAGTAAGTGAGAAGATGACAAGAGGGTGGTGGTTGTGTGGTTGGGCGGAGAGGTCGAAGCCGTCACGACCACGGTCGAAGACGGTGAGGCAGAGAAGACCGTCTACCCCGTGCTGCTGCCTGCTCGCCCCGTGCCGCCACCGCCGAAGACCGTCCGCGCCCCTCCGCCGAGCACAAGAAAAAACAAAACATGTACCTTACTCCTCCCCTCCTACCCGCCATGCAGAATTTTCATTTAGAAAAAAACACCAGGCAAAGAAAATAGCAGAAAAATAGATATTGTGGTGAAACCAAGCACTCTAGTGGCGAAACCTTTATCTGTTCTGGGTACCGCGGATGGCTGAATTTGGGTTGGGGTTCGTGTGGTCTGCGCCACGGTGAAAGTCGAGGACTGGCCGGCATAGAACAGGACGTAACCACTGTGAAGTGCTGAGGTGGCCCTGTGACTCGTTCCGCAGGGTGAAACAAAAGATCGGCTTGCCGCGGCGTGTGCATTGTTGCACTTGCCGCATAGTTTGTTCAAATCTACCAATGAGACGAGAGTGCGTTGCCGCACAATGTGATATAAAATCGCTCTACGCTTGTCCTTGTAATCAGCAACCACAAGCAACATCAACAACTGCCAAGGCATCAAGTTGTTCGCAAGATGGATCTGAACAAGTTGGTGATGCTGACCCTGGTGTGCCTGGGTCTCCTGGCCATCGTCGCCCTCGCCGACGTTCATGGTAACCTTTACAATTGCACACATACCGCACATAACACATAACTAAACTTAT